TGGAGTTTTGGTTCCAATACTAAAGGAATGTAAGTTCTCCCATATTTTCTCAATGGGGGTTGTGCATCATGATTTAGAAAGCCATGGGCACATTGTCCGTATTTGAATGGGAGGCTATAGTGGAAATAGAGAAATGAGCAAAATAGTTAGCCTCCTAACCACATTCATATCATGAGAGGCACCTTTGTACAAGCATTTGTAGCATTACTAACATGTGAAGTCACAGAAACTTTAGCAAAATTGTGTTCCACAATTCAGTGTGGCCAACACGAACAATCTGGTCTGGAAACAATGTGATTATCAATGCATTCCAATCATCACAGGAATTGCCTGGAAATTATTTCTGGAAATCCCTGTAAATCGAACAGGATGTTGGTAATTGATTCTGTGCTTAATGTTTTTTTTTTATTCTGTCTATGATGATTCCCGTTTCTATAAATGTAAGTGTCATTCTGTCCTGGTTCTTAAAGGTTAACCATCCAACTTGAAATAGCATGTACACGAAGAACATAGAACACTTTCCTGGGGTATTTGAAACCAAAAATTGTCATTCCAGCTCAGCAACCAATCAGCGACGCCCTCACAGTTAAATGACAATTTTGGTTTCAAATACCTCGAGAAAGTGTTCTATGTTCTTCGTGTAATTAGGTGTTCATATTTAAGGGATTTTTCCACACAAAAACGACGAATTCGGACGTTTTTTGTTATAGTTTGGCTTAATATTACCCCAACGGATCGTATTTCTGTGAAAGATTGGCATTTTTGTCCTGATTTGTGGAAATCGGAAAAAAACGCTTTTCACAACTTGTCTCTTATTTAGTTTTATGCTGCATTCAAGATGGCGGCCCCCATATAGTAAATATCGCCTTTATTTTATTATCATTTGTGCGCCAGCTGACTGTGCGTGTACCATATGGAATGCAGATCTACAGTGACTATAGATGTTTATGTATGATGTCATTGTTTTTCTCATTTTCTTTTAGTCAGCTGGAGTCTAACTTGATAAAAGATATTGAAAGTCCAATGTTTGGAGCAGGATCTACAGCGGGAGTATTAGATTTAGAGTTCAACAAGTTGACAACACTGGATGCTGATATCTTCAGTGGTATGACTCTGAAGGAAGTGTAAGTTATCTGTGGTAATGCTAGCCATCAAAGAGTATAATATATAGTGCTCTTTGCCTTTAAAAACATGGTATTGGTTTGCAAGACTGGTCACCACTTGCAATTAGCATGAAAAACAACGAAAAACTCCCATGTATGGAAATGTTGCTGGACACAAAAATCAATCAATCCTTAGCCAAAGGGCATACCAGTATACCACTGTTGGTCATGTAACCTATTTTATATTCTCATGAACACCTGTCATATTGCTATGTTTGTTTTCATCTCACATATTGCTTGTAAAACTATAATATTGTTTTCATGTACAATTTAATTGGCCTGCACACTTTGTATTGAATTTTTCTTCATCTGTTGAAAAGGGATAGAATCAAAGCATGGAATTTCAGACCCATATCAAATTATGAGAAGGATATTGAGAATAGGAGAAGATAGAAGATAGCATAGTGAGGATAGGAGGTAGTATATTGAGGTAGCATAGTTAAGGTAGCATAGTGAGGATATGAGGTAGCATAGTGAAGGCAGGAGGTAGCATATTTAGGACAGGAGGTAGCATAATGAGGGTAGAAGGTGGCATAGTGAGGATAGGCAGTAGCATAATGAAGGCAGGAGGTAGCATAGTGAGGGCAGGAGGTAGCATATTGAGGACAGGAGGTAGCATATTGAGGACAGGAGGTAGCATAATGAGGGTAGAAGGTAGCATAGTGAGGATAGGAGGTAGAATAGTGAAGGCAGGAGGTAGCATATTGAGGACAGGAGGTAGCATAATGAGGGTAGAAGGTAGCATAGTGAGGATAGGCAGTAGCACAGTGAGGACAGGAGGTAGCATTGTGAGGACAGGAGTTAGCATAGTGACACTGTTAAAATGATTACAAAAAGATCTTGTGAAGCAAATCATAGAATTAATATTAATATGAACATTCAGAAGCTAATGAGGCAGCAAAAAGTATGTATGAACAAAATGTACTCCTTAAGTAAAGATAGGAGCCTGGGGGAAAGTCTATAAGCATTGGGCTTCCCTGTTTTTGGATCTCTGAACCACTAGGCCTAGTACAATTTGCATCAGCTAAACAGTTTGCCAAGGGGTAGGGGACCTTTACCTCTATATATTGGGAAATTTAATATATTCAAATGTACTTTTAATATTGATTGATAGATAGGTTTTTTATTATTAGAGCAGATGGTAAAGCTCTCCATATACAGTGGTAATGAAAATTAAATGTCCAGAAAACAAGCGATGACTAAAGAACTTACAACCAGACAATTTCATGATTTCTATTTTTTTTTTTTTCAAACCATGTGTCACAAACAATCAACTACTAGGTCTAGGCATGATATGGACAATTATTGCAATTCTTGCTAGTCATATTGCATTGCGTGAATGAGCAGTCCAAGGTATATTGTATACCATTCAACTGTCCAATAAATCTTTTTTTTTTTTCAGTGTTCTTAAAAATAATTTGTTGACAGTCTACCCTGCTGAAGCATTATCCACACAAACATTAGATGCTATATACTTGTCTGACAACCTCATTGCAAAAATTCCTGACTCGGCCTTCACGTCACAGACTAGTCTCACCGAACTGTAAGTACATGTATACATTGCATAAACACATGATGACAAAACCACAAAGACAGTTGCCAACATCAAAAACATGCAGATACCAGCAAACAATATGGTACTCTAGTCATGTGTTCATAAAATTTCTTTAAATACCACACTTTTATGGTACTGTGAAAATAATAATTAAAAATAAAAAAATGGCAAACAAGAATCATAGTGCTATAGTGGCGTTTAAACATCGCAGAACATTTTGGGGGTATTTCTAAACTTAATGTGCTATTCACATTTGATGTTAGTTAATTTTGATGGAGTAAGCATCTCAATATTTTACTCTGTAAACTTGGCATTTCAACATCAAAGTATAAAAAAAAATTAAGTTAAAGCGAGGGAGTCGTCACCTGCGCGTACGTCAGATGGCCATAGCGTGTCATTGTTTACAAACAAGCGTCTACCCATGAGCCTTTGCGTTTCAATTCCCGCGTGTGTGCAGGTGACGATCCTCCCACTTTAAAATTCAAAATATTTAATTTCTGTGGTAGACGCTTGGTCATGCCTTTCAAACAATACACAAGATCTTTAAATGAAAAGAAAATCATCTATTAATACTTTTTGCAATTTGCCAAATATTAGTTAATTATATGTCTCATTGTGTCTGTTATAGTATAAATCATATGGGTTTTCGACAATCAACAACACATTACATGTACATTTTACATTGATTTTATTGTGTTTTGTAGTTATTTGGATAATAATATCATAACTGAACTTCAAGCTGATGTATTTGCTGATTTGGCGAACTTGCAGACACTGTAAGTATATTGGATATGATCAAATATGTTTTTAGCTAATTATATGACATAGTGTGCTATTATCAAATACATTACAGGTTTTTGTTCTCAATGTTGGAAGTAATATCACTTACTGCTAGACATTATTATATTATTTTTAGCTCCGCTGTCGACTTTGTCGAGCGGAGCTTGTCATATGAGTGGTTGTTCGTCGTCGTCGTCCGTGTCAATGTTTTACTTTTTCGACTTCTTCTTGAAAACTACAAGCCTGAATGCTTTGATACTTGGTGTATATGTACCTTGGGTAACCCTCTCTCAGATTTGTTAATTTCATGATGAGATCTTCAATTCTCTAATTTTGGTGAATATTTTTGTCATTTTTGGTAAAAAGTGATATTTTCGACTTCTAGTTAAAAATCGCAAGTCCAATGGCTTTGATATTACATATATAGGTACTACATGTGGACCTTTCTCAGATTTGTTCATTTTGCAATGATATCTTTAATTCTCTAATTTTGGTGAATATTTTTGGTAAAAAGTGATATTTTTGACTTCTTGTAAATAACCGCAATCATTTTGTAATAATATCTTTAATTCTCTAATTTTCATGAATATTTTTGTCATTTTTGGTAAAAAGTGATATTTTCAACTTCTTGTTAAAAACTGCAAGTCTAATTGCTTTGATTTTATATATACATATATAGGTACTACAGGTAGACCTCTCTCAGATTTGTTCATTTTGCGAAGATTTTGTTCTTCAATTATCTAATTTTAATGAATATTTTTAATAGAAAGTTATATTTTCAAATTTAAGTCAAGTCCGATTGCTTTAATACTATACATATTGTTCATTTTCTGATGATATCTTCAGTTCTTTAATTGAAATGTGTATTGATAACAGCAGAGCTATCTCAGCCGACAGGCTACTAGTTTGAATTATAAATGTGTCTTTTTATGGTAATCTCATATTTTGCTTAACTCTTTGATAGCCAAAGTCACCATTCACAAAACAAAATATGTTATATTTTTCACAGAATTGTAATTTAGACCTGTAGCTAATAAAATATTATGTCTGTTTGGTCTAAAATGATCGAAAATCTTATGGAAAATACTTAAAAATAAGCAAAGTATTGCACCAGAATTATTGCACTCAAAAGGTTAAGTTTGAATGGAATGTTCTTCGTCTACCCCACCTGTTGCATCTTATACATCTAATTCAATACAAAAATTATAATTTATTTATTACTTTGAACCAGTCTCAATAAATCATAGTTACAATTGTTGGCTTACATTTATCTTTATGATTATTACAGGAGCATAAAAAACAACAAAATATGGTATGTGGACCCCACAGCTTTTAATGGGTTTGATGCCATCAATACTATGTAAGTTTTTGCATATGCAACTGTTTAATATGATTTTCTTTAATTTTTACAACTTTATGAATTTTAGATCTTTCAGGCATGTTCTAACTATGAATATAATTTTTTTTTTTTTTTTAATAAAATTGAAACTAAAACCAATCAACTTGCATTAATTGAATTATTTGGTTTTTTACCTTGCCCGTACCATCAAAGATGGAAGGGAAAGGTATATTAAGGGAAAAAAATTGTCTGTCGTTGTCGTTGTCATCGTAGTCATTAATAATTGTGCATAATAACTTTACTAATACTATTCCAAACTTCATCAAACTTGGTCACCTTATTTATCAGTATAACATCTTCCCTGAGTTTGAACAACAGATGTCCTGTATTAAAATATCATGCAAAAATTGAGAAAATCTGATAAAATATTTTGACTGTTTCTTGTAATAATATCCTTGGTAATGTATCCCCCAAATCCCATGGGAATACTATACTGGGTTTCAAAACCAACTCATGGAGATATTTTGTACACAGTCTGATACTCATTTGCAAACCTACCAATAAAATCTTTACAGGAAACAAGATGTCAGAAAATCAATATAAGCACTTCTATGAACTGGGTGCCAAACTTTGATCAAGATCTGAAGCTAATAGAAAATCTGTTTAGTTCAAAGTTATCAAATCAAAAACAATACATAAAAAAATACATAAAAAGCAAAACGTTGCATCCACATTTTGAAAAGAAAATTGTACTAAAATATATGTATTCTGTATTTGACAAACAGTTCATTCGACAAATGAAAACTCACAGGAATATGTTTCAGCTATTAGAACAGAATGAGTTTTTATAATACTAGTGTAAAAATGCACTTCAAA